TGCATTAGTGCAACTTAATCCATGACATTGGCCACATGCAGGTAGACATTTAAAGCCATACTTCCGGCAGGAACACCTTAAGTACTTACAAGGGTTCTCAACCTCCACCGAGCAATTGCAGCAAATGAGGTTGAGCATCCCTGCCGGGGCAATCGCAGCTTTAGTCGGGATTGGCCGGTAGTATCCTTCAGAACTCATCTCCCATCCATAATGTAGTGGATTTAGACTTGCAGTGTCGAGTGTCACCCAGTTATGGTACTGAAGATATGATCTTAATATATGCTCAGTTGCAGAGGATGTAGACGGTGGTAGCCTTGATGGGTTGAGTTTTTTCTTTGCTATCATTCTACTGTAGCTGAGAAATCTGAGAGTTTCAAGTGCCTTGGTTTTATCTCCATAGATATGTTGAAACAAGGAGAGGCCAGCTTCAATTACTTCATTTGTTGAAACTCTCACAGAGAGTAATGATGCTAAATGACCCTCCTCATGAAGAGAAACTGAAGTTCGAGATGTTATCGTCGAACAGCCGCACAGCTGCTCTTTGGACAACTTATCATGGTTTCATTTGCTCAATAAAAGATTTCATAAGAGCAGAACGGTTACATGACTTCGATCTACATCTTGCAATTGTGGCTAAGATGTTGCCTATCTTTGCAGCAGCAGGTCGAGGTCAGTACTCCAAAGCTCTACGGCTGTATCTTGAGCAGATTACCGTACTTGAGATCCAGTATGGGGCACTAGTCAAAACGTTCAAGGTCGTAGGTCTGCACACAGTTCGATATAATGAACACGAGTGATCTGGTGTGTGGACAGACCTGTCGATCGAACAGCGACTAATGAAGGCTGCAAAGTCATCAGGGGGTTTGTCTGGAAGGAGAATGCGAACTCATGAATCTGCCCATAAGTTATGGACTGCAACCCTCAATCAAATGGCGTTGATAAACGAGAGTGTCGATGAAGCTATTGCAGACTTATCCAATAAAAGAACAACAACAAAAGCCTCTAGTGCTAATCACTCAGATCTTAGCAAATCTTCTGTACAGAAAAATATTGCAGTGTTTACCAAGCTGTTGTGTTGGTTTAAAGATACAGCTGATTTCGACGAATCTGAAGACAAGACTAAAATGCTATCGTACTCAACGGGTCTCATATCACAGAAAGAGAAGGATAATGTCAACCCAGAAGATTGCATTTCAGTTGGTACTGCCCTCCAGAAAGAGCTCGATGGCAAAAGCTTTATCGATAAGTTTCAAGTTAAAGGCAAAGTCGGAAACTTGACCCTTCTAAAGAGGACAGTGAGGGTGAACGAAAAAGACATTGTTATAGACTCATTGGCAATTTTTAATCGGCTTGTCTTCGCATCTGAACGAGAGTCTACACTGGAGGAAAGCTTGCAATATGAGCTCACAGCAATGCCGATGAGTCTTTTTAACAATGAGCAGATGATGAGAAAGGCAAACAAGGCAGCCCTTGGGCAATATCTCAAGAATGTTGTTGATTGTACTGTGACATTTAGCAACCCATCCTCCCCATTAATAATTGATGATGGATGGCTACTCTATCAAGTTACCTCGTTCACAGGCTTTGAAACATACGGCGACATAGCTAATGAATATTGAATACCTTAAGCTAGTTCCGAAATCCGAACAGCGGAAAGTGATTGTTGTGTTTGATGGCTATGCCCGATCAACAAAAGATCATGAGCATCAGCAAAGAATCAAGGCATACTGCTCTGATATAGCTATTAAAATTTAAAAGTACTACTGTGTGCACAGTTCCGATGAAAGAACTGTTCAGCAACTCAAAAGCTCAAAGAACAAGCATGAGCTTATAAAGCTTCTGTCGAACGTTTTTACAGAACATTGAAGCACATGTAGCTACTGATGATGCTGATACCATGGTAGCTAGTAAAGCTTTAAACTTGTCCCTCTACGAAGATGTTGAGGTAAAAGCAGAGGATACTGATATACTTTGCCTCCTTATTCATCATTTTACTGAGAATCACAATGAAATTGTAATGACGACCAGAAACGGCTCACACTCGATCAGTAAAATAGTAAATGCTCTTGATGCCAACATAAAACGCATATTACTGTTTGATCACAGTTTCTCAGGATGTGACACGGTCAGCAGTATACATGGCTTTGGTAAGGTGAAGATATTGAAAAAGGCAGTTTCTTTTCATGAGGAGGGTCATTTAGCATCATTACTCTCTGTGAGAGTTTCAACAAATGAAGTAATTGAAGCTGGCCTCTCCTTGTTTCAACATATATATGGAGATAAAACCAAGGCACTTGAAACTCTCAGATTTCTCAGCTACAGTAGAATGATAGCAAAGAAAAAACTCAACCCATCAAGGCTACCACCGTCTACATCCTCTGCAACTGAGCATATATTAAGATCATATCTTCAGTACCATAACTGGGTGACACTCGACACTGCAAGTCTAAATCCACTACATTATGGATGGGAGATGAGTTCTGAAGGATACTACCGGCCAATCCCGACTAAAACTGCGACAGGGATGCTCAACCTCATTTGCTGCAATTGCTCGGTGGAGGTTGAGAACCCTTATAAGTACTTAAGGTGTTCCTGCCGGAAGTATGGCTTTAAATGTCTACCTGCATATATGGCCAATGTCATGGATTAAGTTGCACTAATGCACCCGAAAGACAGGACGATTCAGGAGAATCAAACAACTGTGAGGAAATGGGATAGCCAGAAGTGACCTAATAGTTGCTAATAATTCAGGACCTTTTTTTACAGAATTTGATGTGATATGTATATTATTTACTATACTAATATAAGGATCAATTGACAATTGAAAGTAAATTTTAGAATTTGAATACTGATAACTAGACAATGTTTTAATTGTACAACAATTTTGCTAAATTTCCAAATTTAAGTAAAATTTCAAAATTTTAGTAAATTTTTGAGAGGTTAGCCTATAAAAATGAAATTATCTCAATAAGTAAAGATCTGACGACCCTAAAACACTGATTGAGATTCGCCCCACATAATGTCACTATTGCGGTCATTTTGCACCCCCTATGGTGCTCCTGGGGGTCTTTATTACGATAGTTACGAGTTTTTCAAGTGCGGTCCTCAGGCTGACATACACGCCTGAAGAAAATTGGCTGTAACTTTTTTTGCTCAACAGATCCAGATTGGAAACTCTTTGGGGTGGTTCCTGCCACTATGGACAACACATTCCTGTAAAAATCAGCTTGTTGCAAATTTTTTCCCAGACATTTTGCATTATTCCCTAACTATGCATTATTCCCTAACATGTGCAATGTGACAATTAAAACGATTATTTATCAGCATTTTAAGAGTTTCAAAAGATTAAATTCGGACTTGAGTAAGACTAAGATTACATAATATGATAAGCGGCCTCGTTCACGTATTACGTAATCACCTTTTGGACAATTTTTAGCCTGTAATCAGTTTTAAATTGTATAGCTATTGTGTCAAAATTACACTAGCGTAATCTGGTGGATTCGTGTAGTGTTATTGAGTCTCATTTTGATAGTTCTTTTATTCAAATTTCTGATTGTTTCTGAATAGACTCAGTGAAGACAGATTCTAATGGAAATAAATAGCTGAATAACGTATCGACATTTCTACGTTATACTTATATTCTGAAATAGTATTAATTCAATTATAATGATCAATATGTACATTAAAAATTTTACGACGAAATTTATTTCAAACAAAATATATTTATATATTTTGTTTGAAATAAATTTCGTTATTTTACAGTAGATAACTATTTTACAGTTATAACTGTAAAATAGTTATCTACTGTAAAATAGTTTTTAACGAAATCAGAGCAAATATGAACAAAAACTGACACAATTTATCAAATAGGGCTCATCTGAAAATTAACGAATAGCGTGACGTGTACAGGAGATAAAAGATTAAAAGAGATAAAAGAAAGTAGACAATTGCACCGAGAACTATGGTGTGGAAACATACAGACCACTCAAGTGCAGGTTCGACGAGCATTACCGTAGTGCGGCAAATCCAACAGCAAAATCTTACGAAGATAAGCCACTAGCAAAGCACTTCAGGGAAAGTCACCCTCAGCACACAGGCCCCCAAAGCTAAGACTTCAAATCGTCACATCACTCATCAACAGAAAGATTAAAGAAGCCCGATTTTTAGTTGAAAAGAAACCATGAACAGTGAACACTCAACGACAAAACAGAGTTGAACAATCTAACGCAGTTTTTAGTTGAGTGACGTTTAAATAGTAATATTTTCGTTTAAATTTCACCCCTCTGCTGTCAAGCACTCAACTCTGTTTTGTCGTTGAGTGTTGGTTTCTTTTCAACTAAAAATCGGGCTTCTTTAATCTTTCTGTTGATGAGTGATGTTCCTCTATCGACGATTTGAAGTCTTAGCTTTGGGGGGCCTGTGTGCTGAGGGTGACTTTCCCTGAAGTGCTTTGCTAGTGGCTTATCTTCGTAAGATTTTGCTGTTGAATTTGCCGCACTACGGTAATGCTCGTCGAACCTGCACTTGAGTGGTCTGTATGTTTCCCCACCATAGTTCTCGGTGCAATTGTCTACTTTCTTTTATCTCTTTTAATCTTTTATCTCCTGTACACGTCACGCTATTCTTTAATTTTCAGATGAGCCCTATTTGATAAATTTTGTCAGTTTTTGTTCATATTTGCTCTGATTTCGTTAAAAACTATTTTACAGTAGATAACTATAAATTACAGTTATATATTTTGTTTGAAATAAATTTCGTCGTCAAATGTTTAATGTACATATTGATCGTTATAATTGAATTAATACTATTTCAGAATATGAGTATGACGTAGAAATGTCGATAGGTTATTGAGCTATTTATTTCCATTAGAATCTGTCTTCACTGAGTCTATTCAGAAACAATCAGAAATTTGAATAAAAGAACAAGCGTAATAATTTGGAAACCCCCTCCCCCCACGGCTGATTACGTAATATGTGAACGACCCCAAAATCAAATAAATTGTTCAAATATAATAATTATATACATTGGTTTTTAAAATAATGTTATAATGGATTGATCGACTGATCACTGATGTCTGTCTAAATACACTTTTTTCTTAACTTATGTCTATAAAGCTATATAAGAGCTGAAAACGCCTAAATCTTGCGTGCGAATAAGCAAAAAGTTACAATATAAAATCCATTCACTGTTAATAATAATAATGTTAATTATATAATGTACCTATAGACTCTTAATCAGTAAAAAAAAATCTTACCACTTATACATTTCTGTAATCCTACCACTGCACTTGAATATATCACTTTAAATTCTTCGTTTTAAACATTCAACATATTGTCGAATAAATTCAACGATTATAACAGCAATGTTTATAAATATTAAAGTACGGTAGTTCGATAAATTAAATAGAATGAAATGGTAATACTGCAGTTGTAAACCAATGATTACGGAAGATTCACTGATCAGGAGAAAAATCAAAAAAATACGTTCATATAATTTACAGGTATTTTGCGATTTTTGTTGACAACTGGATAATGTAGCATATTTCAACTTATATCCTTTTCAGAGTAATTAAAATTAAATTAAAGAGCTATATCATTAAAAGATTAAAATAATTCAATATAGAATAAATAATTTTTCAAACAATGGAAACCACAATAATAGCTAAACTTGAGATAAATATTAAATACTAAATAATATGATCTGTTAAATATAATTATGATCTATACATAAAGTTTATCGAAATTTGTAAAAGTTAAATACAACTGTCATGCATCATTTTCGAGTTTACTTTCGGTTTCACTTTCACTTAAAGTTCTTGATGTGATTTCCACTCGCTAGAATATCTGCCAAGATTCTGATTCATCTCGTCCACATGTTTTCTCATCGATCTAGATATAAAATCAATTATCAAGAAGAAAACGTGCCTAGCTCCCAATACTGGTGATTTAAAAAACGTAAGTAGTAAAATCCCAGTCCACAAGACCACAAAGTTTGGAAATTTGCGTTAACATTTCTGGGTACCAAATCAGTGTGTACCACTTTTATTTACAGTTTATTAGGTTTTATCCGGTGAAAATTAGTTAAATAATTTTTAAAAATACCGCACATACCTGACACTCTGTTCAAACACCCGAAACTGGTTCTTGTAGTAGATATCTTGGTACTGGTATTTGGAGCCTTCTAGATCCTTCAGCTTGAAATCCGGACTAAGGCTCCCGTCCAATGCGCCTGGATTTCAATTGTCAAGAATTCTAAATAATGTGAATTTGCAGAATACTAAATAATGTGAATATCATTATGACGATGTAATTTAAACTTATTTTCTTGCCTACATTTCTTGCTTCTCAAATAAATTAAATCATTAACACAATGTTCGGAAGAACAAGCCAGTTGATAAACAATAAGACGACTAACCAGTTAGCCAAGTCTCCAGGGTAGCCTCCTCCGGGAACTTGTACCCACACTTCCTAGACTTGGAAATGAACAACATCGCTTCGTCGTAGTCGTATCCTGGAAAAAAACAGTAGTGTGATGTCACGTGATCAGGGCTTATGTAGTCACGTGATCAAGGCTTATGTAGTCAAGTGATCAGGGCTTATGACGTCACGTTATCAGGGCTTATGACGTCACGTGATCAAGGCTTATGTAGTCAAGTGATCAGGGCTTATGACGTCACGTTATCAGGGCTTATGACGTCACGTGACAAAGTTGTAATGACACATTTATGTTTGAATGGGCAGATAATTATGTTGTCACATGGTTCCTTTATTTGACATAATATGTAAAGGGGATGGATGGTTCCAACCCATCCTATTCATCTAGGTGACAAAGCCGATGCATTATACTGATTAGTGAACATGCAATAGATAAAATGCCTTTACATATTATGAATGAAATGTTTTTATAATGAGGAATCATCCCGCCTTATACTGAGCCATAGTCAGAAACTTCAAGTGATATTTTGTCATGCTGATATATCATTTTAAAAAGGAATAGGAGTACAATGTTTCATTGTTTGGAAAACAAAGGATGTAGTACAGATATGTGCTGCAGTCTATAGCTTAAACTTTTGGATGTTCAAGAAAATAGAATCGCATTAAAGTTACAGTCGACGGGGCTTTTGTTGTTTAATGTTTATTCCGATCTAGAACCTCCCGAAGTAAAGTCTAGACTCTAGGGCTATTGTTTGATTGTTAGCATGTGTTGGACGGCCATGCACCTCGTGATGAATATCTTGGATAAAGTAAATAAAACCGACCTCCTTTGAAAGGATATTATACATTGTCCTGCATTCTTCCTCGTCATGCTATGATTTCTCTTCGTTCGCACGTGTTTGAATAAATACAACGTTAAGACATATTAGTAGAATGGTTCATTATCGTTTTGCCATATTAATTGAAGCGTCGATTACGTTGACACAGCATTGCTGGTTCTTTTGTTGATTTATTTTTATCGTTGAATGAAATGAAATCATTGCAATAAAAAATCACAGCTATGCCGTCTGCATTAAGTTTAACGATAATGTTAGCGATTATGTCTAATCTACATATCATAATAACAGGTACGATAACACACTTTTGGCTTCCGGAATTACAACAGACTGAGATTATCCCCCAAATCAACAATTCAATCATTCAAGCTTTTTAAAATTCATTTCACAAATTGATAATTAGAAAATGTGTACAAACTACAAAGGCCGATTATTCAGATTATATCTATTCAGGTGTTTCTGGACACACGCCAAGATCACTAGAGGAGCAAGAGAACCCATGCGAGAAAGGATACGTAAAAAACGGCATCGAATGCATTAAAAACCCATGCAAGAAAGGATATGTAAAAAACGGCACCGAATCAGAATGCAGTATTTGCGACATCGGCTACCATATGAGCTTAGGAAAATGTGTCAATACAATTTGTTTCTTCATATTTATTTCAGTATGTGTGATAGTTGTGGCACTGCTGGTGATATCTGGTCTTATAATGCGGCATGAAAAGGAACAATGTCGATCAATCAGAAACAGATCAAATTCAAATCATTGAGAGCTCCAGACAATTGGCCTCCGACCCAAACCGCATAAGTTACGTTCTCGCACTTCTGAAGTACTAAGCAATGTTGAATCAACTCAGAGGGTTAAATGTTAACAGTCCTGTTTAATTTCATCTTATGAAAATTGAATAAACTTTTTACAGAAGAGACTTTTATAATACCTGAATTTTTGGCAATTCGGTAAACTGTCGATGGTCACATAACGTACGGTTAAGGCACGCGTTAAGTACGTGCGTTAACCGTGTGTTATGCGACCATCGAAAGATTACCGAATAGTCGAGTTTTTTTATAGGTTGATATAACTTTTTAAAAGTAATTAGTTTTAAACTAATTACAACACTACAAATCTATTGCATTTATTGAGTATTAATATTATGTAACGCGATGGAAATATTTTAAGCGGGTAGTATCCTGTCCAAACCCAGGATATATTACATGAAGACTTTGTTGTAACTTTGTATGAAAAGCATTAATATGAGTGTTTTTAAAACATTTTATTGAAATCTTTTAATTCAATCAATGACAGAAAAGATTCCATAATTATGTGAAAAATCCATAACAGCGGGAAAAAACCTTGTATGCAACCAAAAAATCTGAGGGTAGCATAGATAATAGATATCGAGTACAGGCATTGTCAGAATGGAAATATTAAATATAAGAATGATCAAATCTTGCAACTTCAAATATCAGAATCTGACACATCCACGGTGATCTCTGACCTAATAGTCTCACACACGTGTTGGAGGCACCCTTGCCAAGAATTATCTGAGGTGCCAAAGACCGTGTTGTTTTCTCTAGTGGAAGATTGCGACAATGCATATGCAATATGCACTAAAGCGTTATGTTATGGGGGGGGGGGGGGGGGGGGGGGCTGGGGGCTACAATATAATTGCTGAAGTGCCATATTACCAATACCACTGGTGAGTAGAAAATGGTTCACATTCGCACCATGTTTTCATTTAGTGTACCTTCCCAGTGATGTAGGATAGTTGAACATTGTCATATATCTTTACGTTAATGTTATGGTTGGGCTGTTTATAAGTTAGTTTGATAGATTTGTAATTAATGATGAACATTAAGTTTACCCTGTGGATGTATTGCGTCTGGTGCCCACTTAAAATGGTAGCAGATTTGGCCAGCTGTTTGTAAATGGGGCCTGATTGTTTTGACAAATGACAATAATTTACCGATTTACCGGGGGCTACAATATAATTGCTGAAGTGCCATATTACCAATACCACTGGTGAGTTATACACGCTTTTATTTCGTTGCTAATTTGTGCCTCTGTTATCAGCAGCGCTTATCATCTCAACAACTATCTCATACTCGCAGCTACAGCTTGTTTTACGGATACTATACACTGTGTATAACTGATCAACGATATGCCGACAGTAGCAGAACGTTTCAAATTTGACTTAGTAGAGACCGATGGACAAAAGTTCCTACTTGATACCGTGAAACAGTGTAAAGTCGATTGTGTTCAAGAACTAAATCATGAGAGCGTGAACAAAATTGGTAACAAGGGGGATTTAGCGGCAAAGTTTTTGCAAGCCATGCAGCTCATTGAGAGACAGCATAACATGATCATAAATCAGAGGGTACACGTTAGTCAGTATCAGTCTAGTATGATACAGCTGCAGGACCAAGTTATAAAACTACAGGAGCAACTATTATCTGCAAAAGAAGGACTTTCTAAGGCAATAGAGTTTAACGAACATCTCAAGACTGAGTTTTTTGAGGGTGTTCAGAAAGAAGTCAGTTCAGTTAAACAAAGTTTTAGCGATGTGGTGAAATCCGGTAGTATCGAGAACTCAGCTGCGATTTCTACAGAATCCATTAAATCAGTTGCCAAGCAAATTGCTTTGGAGGAGGAGTTGGGTAGGAACATCATGGTCTTTGGGCTATGCGAGGAGGTCAATGAGGAGATCAATACAAAAGTCGCTGAAGTATTGGAATCATTGGGAGAGAAACCCCGAGTTGAGGCTTGTAGAATCGGCAAGAAATCACCGTCAGCTGCAAGACCGGTTAAAGTTTCCTTTTCCAGTTCTTCGATTGTGCAACAAATACTGAAGAAGTCGAGTAAACTGTGTGGAACAGAGAGATTTAAGAGGGTGTTCCTAGCTCCAGATCGTACAGCAGAAGAGAGAGCTCAGCGTAAAGAACTTGTCCTAGAGCTAAAAAGAAGAGCTGGTATTGAGAAGGACAAAAAACTCTTCATTCGTGAAGGGAAGATTTGTAGCCTTGAGAGGCAAAAATGAGTTTCTAAATATTTTTCGTGTTGTGAGCAAATCAAAAAGTTTAGCTCTATGAGTATTTGTCTTCTGTGTGCTTAGTTTTTGTCGAAGGATCTAACCATTTTATTTCACTTATACAAAACTGTATAGTTTTCAAGGGGTTAATCTGGTTTTAGGCGAATCTTGTTCAGAGATCGCTGTTTCATTACTCTTAGTCAGCTGGTGCAGCCTTTATACATACTTTCATATGTATATTTACAATTTTAAATTGCTGTTCAATATCTATTTTTAGTAAACATTAACTGGGGTAGTAAAACCCAGTTCCCAATCAATCAGTAGAAAATGGTTCACATTCGCACCATGTTTTCATTTAGTGTACCTTCCCAGTGATGTAGGATAGTTGAACATTGTCATATATCTTTGCGTTAATGTTATGGTTGGGCTGTTTATAAGTTAGTTTGATAGATTTGTAATTAATGATGAACATTAAGTTTACCCTGTGGATGTATTGCGTCTGGTGCCCACTTAAAATGGTAGCAGATTTGGCCAGCTGTTTGTAAATGGGGCCTGATTGTTTTGACAAATGACAATAATTTACCGATCAGATGCAAAGATTTACTTTGGCAATGGAGTATTATATAATTACCTATAGTTTACTGAGACTAAATGAGCGACGTATCAAAAATGACAAGTCAGTGTTATGTTATAATCCTGAAGAATTGATTGTAATACAATATTACTACACGTACAATTTAGCTTCATTCAGTTAGCACGCTGGAAAATATCATCTCTGCGCATGATCACTGATAACAATACCCCAAAATTTCCAGATAACATTACCATGGCAACATTACCTGACTACTCTAACCATACCATATATGGAATACACAACCCCACAGAAAGGTACCTCTGGGCAGGATACCACACCCTCGTCCTCTTCTCCTCTCTCCTCGGAGACACTGCTATCCTGGTTGGGTCCATCAAGTTCAACGCGTTTAAGCTGCACAAGTTCCTGGTGGCAGTGATCCAGCATATAGCGGTCTGTGACCTCATCCTGTCTGTGGTGTACGTGTTCCCTAACTTACTGTCACTGGTTGCAGACTGTGAGATTATGTCTCACTTCATATGTGTTTCCAGGGTCTATGTTGTTTACGCTGCCTTTGGAAGCAGTGCTAATCTGGTGTGCCTGCTCACCTCTAGCAAGCTCCTGATCCTGGAGTACCCTCTACATACCAGGTATTTCACCAAGACAAGAGCAAACCTCGTGTGTGTTTTGATCTGGCTTGGGTCCCCCTGTCTCAATGTTGATAGTGGACAAGTCTGACGTACAGTACGACTACAGGATTTACAGCTGCGACTACAAGTTCACCGCAGAAATCTGGACCAAGTTCCTCCGCCGGATCCACTTCTTCTTCGCCATGTCAGCTAACATAATAGTACTCCTGACCACTATGCGGACACTGGTTCACCTAATCAGAGCAAGGAGAGCTTCACTACGGTCACATGGTCAGGTCAGATGGCAAGGGATGGTGACTGTCCTCGCCACTGCTATTGTCTACTTTCTCTCCAGTCTCCCCTATGGTGCTTACTCCGTTGCAGAGCGGTACTTCGTGAGAACTACCTTCCAGTTAGATCCTCTTACTTTTGCTCCCTACATGAGGGCTGCAAAGTACCTGCTCTTACTTAACGTCATGTCTAACTTCTACATATACAGCTTGACTGTGCCCAGTTTCAGAGGGTTTGTAGTAGAGTTGGTTGTGGGAGGGAGGCGGGTTCTGCAGAAGAGGCAGGTTGGTGCATCAGAGATTAGTAAGAGAACATTGGTGACTGATCAGAGCGAACAAATAACCGCATGCTAAGTTAAATATCAATATGAATGTCTTTGTTTCTTTCCCGGAGAAAGCATTGCAAAATGGAAAAATAATATTGTCTTTTTTTTGTCTAATTTTCAAATATTAAAGATGGAACTGGAACAAAAATCACAGATTTGACTGAAATTTTGTCTGGATACTTATTAATCTATGGATGGCATAGGAGTTAGGACACAATCGAGGTGTACTGGAAGTTTGACTTCGTTAAGAGAAAACATTCCAGAGAAAGTGTTTCTTCACAATTCTTGTATTCATAACTTCATAACAAAAACAACAAATAAAGGCGAAACTGTTGATTTCTATAAATATTTCGTTTGTTAGAAAACAATGGAAATACAGGTATTTCTTTTGTAAGCAAACAATGGAGAAGAAGTATCCATAATAAATTATCGAATTAGGTTACATAAAAGAGACTTTCATTGGAACTTATTGTGCTTTTGTTAGCGATAAATGACTGAGAACCAAAGGTCATTTAAACCGGCGTTCTTAGAGATTATTATAAATCATCATGTGCTATTCGTTACTTCTGTAGAATCCAAAGCCTTGATTATAGAGAGTGATAAATGATATTGGTGAATTTTCGTCAATTTATTTTCATCCCTAGTTTTACATGGTTGATATGCAACTTGCTTTAACGATTCTGCTAGTGGTCATCTTAAATCTACAAATCATAACAACAGGTACGAGTAGTGAGGCAAAAAAGAGGAATTTCAGTTTTAAAGCAAATAAATCTTCTGTAAAACGTTTCGATCTGTCTTGTTTTCCTGGTTTCAAATTAAAACTATATTTTAGTAAAAACCTATGCTTAATGAACCGTTGCTACTACTAGGTCGAAAGTACAATCTACGTCAGATAACCCTCTCCGTATATCCCTGTCCCGCATCAGAGCTTGCAGTTCCTCTTTAGAATTTATCCCAAACAGTAACACTAACATAGTAAAATAGATTTCTGCTTTATTTCGGTCTGCCTTACTGTGTTCTACCATGCACACTTGCACAGGTTCCCTTATGACTATATCAGTATATCAGTATATAACTGACCAGTAGCTCAGGATATCTAATGCAGTGTCCCACCATTTTCAATCTCCTGCTTCGTATCTTGTTCGACAACCTTGGTAGGTTGCCCTTCCTGTCCTTGAACTTCCTTGAGATGCCCAGCAACATAATTGTGTATACCCCGTCCTAATAGTTCTCCCGAAGCTTTGTCAGTCTCCAGGTTTCTGATCCATGAAGCAGTTCTGATTCGCATGCCGCAATGGACAATCTGATCTTGATATAAGCTTATTGGAAAGTTTGGATTTCCGGATAACACTCAGTCTATGTAAGTATGTAGGGCTGAGGGCACCCCATGCTTGTTCCTTCTTTATCCTCATGTTCTCCCTATCTATGCTCTCAATCCAAAAGCTTATATTAGTTATACGAAATCTTCCACATTTTGTATGGTTTTCCCGGTCAAATCGGAAGATGAAATGCTTATAACTGTTTTAATCATCCATTACAGGAGTTAGCAGAGAAACAGTAGCACCAACAGAGTCACAAAACATCTCTTGCAAGGAGGGACACGTACACAACGGAACCGACTGTGTCCGTGACACCGGATACACTTTCAATCTAGAAGAATGTTTCAAACTCAGTTTTATTACAATAGGGATGGTGATGGTGGCTTTAATTCTGGTCATCGGTGTTGTAATGTTTTCCTATCGCTCAGGAGTTGGGGAGTTCGGGAAGGGTTCAGAAGTTGAGGAGCCTGATTTGCCGATCATTCTGCCTGATCAAGTTACCATCTCCCTCCAAAATCACAACTAACGCTTTCATACTACTCAATAACGCTGCTTCAAGTGGAAATCTCAACATTGATTAGTAGATTAGTGAACATTTTGCAAAACTAATTGTACCCTACTATATCTATATATCTAGCTTCTGGTTGTGTAAGGTTAATGGTGGGTTTGGTAGGTGAACCACCTTTCTTCTGATACGTTTCATTTACTGTGATAAATCAGTAAGCTTTCGAAATCGACTTTTAAAAACTGGGGATCACTGGGTAGGAGGGGTTCTGGAAACATATTATTGATACGACAGTATTCCGTTTCAGAAGCTTCCAAATAATTGGTGTCAATTAATTTCAGATAAGGTGTCAAAAAATATTGACTGTGACATTTTATAAGGAGCTTCAGCTTGATTTGTGTTAATCTCCAATATGATTCGAAGTGTAATCTTAAATCTAAGGCCAATCTAAAATCTAAAGCCTTAATCAAAATTCTAAGAATGCTATAACGGGTGAATTTCCTTTTTATCGATCCTGCTAAAGATCGCGAGGTTCCAACTCCATTTGCGAGCTGAAATTGACCACAAAGAAGGGTCGGTTTTTGGTCAATTTTCAGTGTTTTTCCCCGTTCCCGGGGGGATTTCGTCAAGTTTAAAATATAGTATAAATATAATTATATTTGTATAAATTTGTTATATATAACAAATAATTTGAGGCTCTAAAGATGTAGTTTATTTACGAATGATTCAAGCCTAACATTGTGTGTTTCCCTTCATGTCCAAATGCAATATATATAAATATATGATAAAATTGAAAGTTGTGGCAAATCGGGATTTTCAGTAGATCGGTACGCGGTAAATCGGGGTTTAAAATGTTTTAACAACAAAGAGATAAAATTACTATTCATTACTCCGTTATTCATCAAACAAAGGGGCCGAAAGCTCTGTGCTGTTTACAATAATAGGTTAAACTATTGGACACTAGATAAAATATAATGTCATCAATAGAATGTCATTAAAACCAATTGTCGTAAGGATCCATTGTTATATATTCCGATGAAGGATTGCAAAAATTCGCCTTGACAGTTGACAGTAACCCGGTAACCTTTTCTATAAATGAAGGATTGCAAAACATCCTTGATAGTAACCTTTTTAAATGTTAGTGCAGTGCGTTGCTGAATCTTCCGTTGTTTTCCTTATACTTTTTCAATAAAAGATATCATTATTATGAAGCCTGGTTTAACGATACTTGTACTAGTGGGTATCATGAATATACAGAGCGTAACATCAGGTACGATTAGCGGTCATTCGCATATTGTTACGTAATTAGCTGAGGGGGGAGGGGGTTTCCAAATGATTACGCTAGTGTAATTTGGACACAATAGCTATGTGTAATACTGATTATGGAGGTGGGGGATACAAATTGGCCAAATAGTGATTACATAATATGTGAACGACCCCTCAACAGCAAAGTTCGAGATTGAAAATAAAGAATTTTAACTTTAACACAAATTAAGCATTGATTAAACATTCCGAATAATTCTGTTTTCCTGTTGTCAAAACAAATAAAGCTACCTTAGTTCCCAAAATTTGATGTGCCAAACATTTGGGCTCAATAAGTTTGTGTGCCAAATATTTGGGGGGACATTTGGCCTTGTTTATTTTCCATTAATCTAATTTGCAGCAGTTTTGAGAACTAAGGTATATCCATTTATAGGGGTATCGGAACGACATTCAGAGAAGGAAAAGATCTCATGTAAGAAAGTATACGTACCAAATCATTAAAACAATTATTGTGTACAAAGGATTCAAACTGTTCCCACTTCAGGAGTTTTAGCACAAAACAAAGGTTCATCAGAGGAGGAGGAAAGCTTAAAGAATCCGTGCAAGAAATTGAAGAAAGGATACGTACCGCACGGCACCGAGTGTATCTGTGACATTGGCTACCACCGGAGCTTAGGAAAATGTGTCAATACAATTTCTTTCCTTATATTTATTCTAGTTTGTGTGGTAGTGGTAGTATTACTGGTGTTATCCGGTGTCATCATGCACCTTGAGCGGGAGAGTTATTTAACTTATTTCGGGTGAATTGTTTAAATTGTTTAAATTGTTTTTGGATCTAAAGTTTCGTGGCACTAAGTGACTCAAATTGTTTTAGGCACATGATTGTAATTAACCAATCAGCTATGAACATTGAAAATGTACCGATCAAAAACGAGAATCATTGCCAGTGTCAAGAAACACTGATTGTGATATACATTATCGAACTTCAGTTAAATATTATTATATTAGTATATTGTAACGAACTTTGAGCAGAGTGATGGAATTTGATCTATCATTTACGTAATATTTACGTAACATAACTTATTTTTTAGTGAATGAATACTTATGTGATATGTTTTCAGTAATCTCTCTCTAAAGGTTTAAACATCCGCATTTAACTTGTCCATTAGAAATATGAAAAATGTTTATTACTTTATTAGAAAACAATGAGGGTGAAAAGAATGTGCTGAAGTTTATAATAGTCTAAAATATTGTAAACAAAAATAATGTGTAAATAGTACGTCATTGAAATACATTTTTGACAGTTCGAACGCGCGCTTGTGAAATGTGAATTTGAGTATGGTGTACAGTGTACCAGTACAGTGTAGCTCTTATTAACCCCTATAAAAGCCCAGATTTATTTCTGATCTATAGAGCTTGAAAATAACCAAAATAACAACCTTGTTATAAGCTCATTTTGGTGACTGTTCCTAAGATCTACCCTATTTCTAGGTCAAATAAATTCTATCCATCGATCACATCCCTAATTAATCGTTACTAATGAACAGATTCTGTGGTATTAATGAGGACCGATTTTCTAGAAGTTATTAAGGGTGTGATCGTCGTGTCGACCACACCTACGAATAGTGGCGAGTGATGCGAAATTTTCAAAATGCGCGTGGAAACTTGATCCTGAATACCTGCTCGCGTCCAGAGGTGGTTACCCTCTTACAAAGGTGTAACTCTGTTAACATGTTTATGTTAACTTGCAGCTGTGCATGTTGATAAGTGATTATGAAAGCCTATTCATATTGTTTGCTGCATTTAAATTATCTCAAGATTTATCCGTGAAAGTTCGTCCAAATTAAGTCCGTTAAGGTAGCATTTGTAAGGTAGAAAGAATGCACTGCTTCGCCTTCAGTAGAATCAATGGGCATGATTTCATGGCTTTTGTTCACCAATTTGTTCAGTGCTGGATTTTAACAAAGAGGAATATCTTTATACTACATCAAACAAGCGAAACACCCGGCTGACAAAGTTTCATGGTATAATACCAACCATTGGTGCTTTGTATTGATTGGTTTTGTTCAAATTCGTGTGCAGTTATGCAACCTTCTTTAACGATACTACTAGTGGTAATCTTAAATCTACAGGTGATAAGAACAGGTACGTTTCACAATCATAACTGACTCCTGAGGTCAAAATAACATGAGTTTTACGCAACATGCTTAAACTAAATTGCAGTGAGTAGATTTCATGGACCTGTTCATTGTTTGATTGTGGGACAAATATTGTAGTGAATATCTCAGGTGTTTTAGGACAAGAACAAAGTTTAATGGAGACGCAAAAGATCTCTTGCAAGAAAGGACAAGTACAAAACGGCACTGCTTGTATATGTGACACTGGCTTCCATCTAAACTTGGGACAATGTATCGATACAATTTACTTCACGTGTTCCATTTCAGTAGGGGTGGTGTTGGTGGCTTTTATTCTGGTTTCCAGTGTTTTCATGTACCGTGAAGGGACAATTTTAGATACAACAGAATCTAATCAAATCCAAGTCATGATTCAGTCCCCATGCAAGTTACCACCTCCCTCCAAAGTCACAACTTACGCTCTCGCGTTACTTAGTAATGCTGTTTCAAGTGGAAATCTTAACATTGATAAATGAATATTTTACAAAACAATGTGTGGCCTGCTTGGGTGAAGTGGTCTGTAGATCTGTACGTTGGTGATAATGAGAACTATTTTTTAATGATCCGTACTGTGATAAACCAACCAGTTGCTGACATTGACCAATCATATCCGGGAGTAGCTGGTTTGTGACTGTGTGTTTACTGCCAAGAAACATTTTGGTAATTCCTTCCAAATATTAGTTTAAAGCATATCATATTTCAACAGGATTTAAAATTATCCACCATTTTGCAAAACTTACTTTCTTCTAAAGTATGAATTTTGTTAAGAACATGGAAATTCGACAGTTCTTTTGAATAGAATTTGCTAACATGCATACCTCTTCGATGCTTTTAGGTTTTTAACTTAGCCGATACTGTGGATGCCAATAGCTACTTGTGTGAAATGTAACGTATGTTGTAGATATTTATATTAGTAGTTAAGTGGGGTATGTTGATGATATATTAAATGTAACGTATGTTGTAGATATTAGTTGTGAGGCATGTTGAGGATATATCAAATGTTAAACATTTTCATTTATCTATGTTTTCTTTTCATGTTTATGATTGATTCATATTATAGCGAAGAGGATTTTAAATAAAGATTTATAGCATCGTTGATATAAATGGTTCAAAACATTATTTTCTACTTTATATATTTAACACCTAGAAAAAAAAACATTTTTAACTTCTTTAAACCATTAAAGAACGACAGATCAAACCAGTCATAAAATAATATTACTGTATCTTGGTACTTTCCTTCCTTGATCCAAGACCTTCATAACCTAAGTCTGACACGTTCAGGAAGGAAAACAAGAAATTTAATTTTAGCACATTTTGCAGAATCAACAAATTTATTTAACGATGAAAATATGATGCTTATGTGGTTTATGACGTCATTGACTTCTAATTGGGTGGTGAAATGATGGAGTAGTTCGCTGTCTCCTGATTGAAATACTGATAGTTGGATAATATCCGGATATTAGACATACGTGACAAACTCATTATTAGAATACAATGGCTGCATAATAGTGTAAAATATTGTAAACAAAATTAAAGTATAAATAGCATGTCCATACAACCAATTGTTGATAGGTCGACACTCTACACGACCATTGTTATTTTATTTCAACCGAGGATTGCCCAATAGTTTTGATATTTTGGTCGTGGCCTTTTCCATCAGTCCAACATTGTTGAATCTTTCGTAGATTAAACTTCATCATTGCATTAAAAAAATCGCAGTTATGCAGCCTTCTCTAACGATTCTACTAGTGGTCATCTTAAATCTACAAATCATAACAACAGGTATGTTCCACAATCATAACTGAGTCTTGAGGTCAAAAGAACATGAGTTTTACACAACATGCTTAAACTAAATTGCTGTGAGTAGATTTCATGGACCTGTTCATTGTTTGATTGAGGGACAAATATTATAGTGAATAATTATCTACTCCATATGTTTTAGGACAAGAGCTGAGTTCAGTTGAGACGCAAAAGATCTCTTGCAAGAAAGGACAAGTACTCAACGGAACCAACTGTATCTGCGAGACTGGCTTCCATCTGAGTTTGGGAAAATGTATCAATACAGTTTACTTCTCCTGTTTCATCATAGTAGGGGCGATGGTGGTGGCTTTTATTCTGGTCTCGAGCGTTGTAATGTACCGTGAAGGGAAACATGTCAACACAACTGAATCCAATCAAATTCAAATAATGCGGAGATTCAGCCATTTCCAAAATTCTGGTCGTGCAAGTGACGATGAACTTGCAGATACAGCCCCATG